AAGCAAAATGTAACACATTAGAATTTGCTGAGGGCAGAGGGAGATGCAGAAGGGGACGACAAGGTATCTTGAATCAACCAAGATGCACACATTTGGTTACTGGGAGAGATCATCGGACAAAGAGGAAAAATGTGACAGGAATCATCTCACATTTCTCAGGGAGTTGAGGGACATTTGCACATTTTAAGTGTGGGTGGAGATCTCAGGAAAGGAGGCTCAAGATAAAAGCTCATGGTAAGAGAAATAACTTAATTAAACCTCTGCAGGGGAGGGTGCTGAGGTTGCCAAGGAGGGAAGCGTGGCATCAGGCTCATGGAAATGTCCACGTTTCCTGGAATGTACCAGACAGCAGGGTCAGGGTCGGGCGGCCGCCAGATCTCAGGCTCAAAGGATGACATGCAGGTGCAGAAGTAGGGAGTCATAATCATTCTTGTAATTGTACCATTTTTCCCCATCCCTGCTATTTTACCATTTGTAAAATTCCTGCTAAGACTGACTGTAAAACTAACTGATAAAATGAGTTATCAGCAAAAACTAGAAAGTAACACGACATTTGCATCTGCATTACATTTCTCACATCATTCAGCTCCTTTTAAAGCCTTTCGTAAGTTTAAGTGTTCAGAAAAGGCTCCACCCTCCTTTCAGACTGTTCAAACAATTGAAACGATTGTTGTAATATGAACATAATTATGTACACGGCCACAGAGGACTATGGCAGCAGTGCCTTACCTCAACACCTGGCAAAGCGGGAGAGGAGATGAGTAAAGTCTTGTAAGAGATCTGGCTATTCCAGGCCCAGCAGTCAGAGATTAACCCCTGGCTTTGGATAATTACATAAGATCCCTTTAATCCTTGGCAATTTAGCAGTGGCAATGAAGGTACCTCAGCTAGAACTTCTTTGCACATGAAATGCACGCTCAGGTGCAACGTTTTTAACCAAATGTTGAGGACGACAAGAACTTTATTGGAATGTGAACAAATGCCATGAGAGGGATTTTGTAAAGCCTGATATTTGTGATGCTTAAAACACACACACA